GAGAGTTTGTTTATTCAAGGTCTCAAATTAACTTGTTTTAGGTTTCGTTTGGGAAGTGAGTTGGTTTTTTTGACTATTTTAACTTGGGTTTAAAAAGTTGGTTTGAGAAGAACTTTTTAATTTTTTTTTTGTAAGAGAAGAGTGTAATGATTATGGATCAGATGTGATGTTTTGTTTTTTATGGCTAAAATAACCTATTTTATCTTTTGTAACTAAAATAACCAAAAAAGTTCCAAATCTATCTTCCCAAACGGAGCCTAAAAAATTTGTTCATATTATAAGGACTTAAAATTCATTTGAGGTTGTTTGGGGTGTCCTAAATAAGTATAATTTGTGTCCTTTTGGACTAAAAAATTGAGAAAAAAATATGAATATTTAGATTAACTTTTGACTTTTTATGAAAAAATGTGTATTAAAAAATTGTATAAATTAGTGTGTAAGGGAAAATTAGGATTAGGAGTTATGCAGCCGTAATTTTTGACTTTTGATAAATATTGATAACTTTTTAACTTTTTGAGTAACTTTTTAATTTTTTTTCAACTTGTCAAACTTGACATTAGCAACATCATAAACAAACTATTTATTTATTAATTTATTGATATTATATTATCTCTTTATTTTTTTAATAAAAAAATTATTTTTTAAGTTATACCTAAAATAAGTTGGTGTGTACTCATACCTACTTATTAAAAAAAAAATTATTATACATTGCTCAAAAACGTTACTATATTCTGTTTTTCTCCAAAGGAATATGCTGTGCGAACGAGGTTTCTTTAGAGAAGTGGGTTGATTTTTTGATTTTTTAATTTTTTTTGACTATTTTAACCTGAGCTAAAAAACTTAATTTGAGAATGACTTTTTGATTTTTTAACTTTTTTTTAAGAGAAGAGTAATGATTATGAATTGAATGTGATATTTTATTTTTTGTGATTAAAATAGTCTATTCTGTGACTAAAATAGTCTATTCTGTTTTTTGTGACTAAAATAGTCAAAAAAGTTCCAAATCTATCTCTCCAAACGGAGCCTGAATTGTTTGGTAGAGATAGGTAAAAACTAATTTTTAAATTTTTTTAAAAAATAAGTGATAATATAAATTAAAATGAATTAAAAATTGAAAATTAAATTTTAACTCACCTTCCCAAAAAAACAAAAAAAAACCTAGGTCAAACAATAGCTTTCTGATCATAGGGGGTCCTGTCAGCGCGCAATTCGAGGTCCTACGGCACTCTGCCGACAACGGTCGTCCTTATCTCCAAAGCCAACGGTCCAATAACTGGAGAAATATTCAGATGCGTGCATCCTCATAGTCTTCTTCTTGTGAGGCTTTACCATTGTCTTTTCTTTTATAATTTCAGATCAGGTATAACCTGAAAAATAATTATAAATTTTATTAATATTAATAATTAAAATTATAAGTTTTTTCATCTATATATACTATTTTTTAAAAAAAATTCACTGAGGGATAATTTCTCCTTTATTATACTAATAATAATAATAAAAAGAAGATGCTATATGACGTAGTTAATACATGAGATAATTTCTCCATTATTCATTTTTTAATGGGATAAGCTCTCCATTATTCATTTTTTAATTTTCCGTTTGAATCCATTTACTTGAGAAGTGTTCCATTTCTACATGTTGCACCAAACATAAATAAATTTAGAGATAATTTTAGAAAAATCTAACCTAAGGAGGTTTTAAGATATTGGCCTATTTTAAAAAGTGAGTTATAATTTACTTTCTACATTATAATTCACTTTCTAAGTAACTTTTTATTAAAAAGTTGATTATAATTATCTTTCCAAAATAACTCATTATGGATTTTTTTTTTTATTTGTGAGAGATTTTGTAAAATAATTTGATAAGAATTCTTTTGTTTGTTTTGAAATATATTTTATTTTAAATTTTACCTTTTAATTTATTTGTTGACTTTTTTTTATTTGTTTGATTTTTTATTATCTATTGAAATTTATATCTATCTGTTCAATTTTTCATTTATCTGTTTAAATCTAGCTATGTTAATATTTTATTATTTGTTCAACAACAATAACATACTCCCTCCGTCCCATAATATTAGTCCCTTATTTCATTTTTAATTGTCCCAAAATATTAGTCCCTCTTCAAAAATCAAGTATAAAAATAATATAAATTTCCCATTTTGCCCTTCTTTTAAATTCATAAATAATATAAAAAGTACAATTATGACATTGATATTCTCAAAAAAGTGTACTATCAAAGGGTAATTTTGGAAAACCAACTTTTTAAAAGTACAATAATTGTACTACAAAAAAAATTAGATTCCCCAAAAGGGACCATTATTTTGGGACGGAGGGAGTATCTATTTGTTGAAAATCTAACAATAACAACAACAACAAAATCTTTGTTGAAAATCTAACAACAATAACAACAAATCTATCTGTTCAACAGCAAGAACAATAACAACAAATCTATCTACTGAAAATCCAACAAAAACAACAAAATCTATATGTGAAAAATCTAACAATAACAATAACAATAACAAATCTATCGGTTAAAAATCTATCTCTGTTTAGTGTTTATTCTTTAGAGACGATGGTGAGATCAGTACCTAATTCTTTATCTTCTGAGATTTGATATACAAGACAGTAGATCTAACATTTGAGTTATACGACGACAGATCTAAGATACGAAATACATACACATATCAGATTCGCCGCCATTGTCAGAAGAGAACTCTAAGCCCTCAAGAAGTCGACACCGATAGACAAGCTGCAGAAGTGAGAAGTGGGCCCAGAGGACCTGGGCTTGGACTTGTCTCTGCCGTTGGATGAGTTTGATTTAAAGGAATCAATGGCCATCAGGGCTTTGGCTTCGGTGTTAGAAAAGGAATGAGATATTGAGGGAGGCGCAGTTGAAGTCAGCAACGACATCGTCAAGGAAGTTGAAGTCAAAGAATGATGGTTCGGGGTGGTGTTGATGGTGGTGTTGATGACACAGGTGTTAGGGTTCGTGTGTACAAGGATGTTCGTGGTGGTTGCTGAAAGAGGAGTTAATTTGAGTCCGCTAAATTAATTAGGCCCAATAATCCAAGATTAGTGGGCCCGAATTTATCGCAAGTTCAAGATTGGTGGGCTCAGATTTTATCGCTATCAAACGGGCTGAATCGCTCTAAGCCCCGAAAGAGTTCAGATCCACGAACTTAGAAACTTACTCGGACCCGGACTTGAAAGGGTATTGAGCTATCCTAGAGACCCGAGGCACTCGGACTCGAAAGGATTCGGATCCACGAATCTAGAGATCCGAAGCACTTAGCTTCGAATGGATTCAAACACAACCTAGAAGCCGCTCCGTTAATGAGTCCCAGAACACTTGCGGGCTCGGAGCTTTTTCGGGATCTACGCACCAGAACCATGGGCATAATGGAGTTCGAACAAAAGACCCAATCCCGATGACGGTGAGTGGAAATAAATTTACTCTTCAGTTAAACTAGCCTATACCCGGGTCGAGGTGGGACGACTCCAGGGAGTCCATGAGACTCGGCAATATTTGCGGCAGGGCGTTCTCTTGAACTACCCCTGACCCTTATGCGGCAAGACGTCCTCTGGGACTACCCCTGATCCTTTGGGATGATTGGGGATCGTTGGTTAGGTGTGGCTAAGAAGAAAGGTTCACCGAGAGGTTGATTTCCTCTTCGGGATTTTCCTCATCCTCGGAGAGGTCACCTCCTTCGACAAGGTGGTTAGAGAGAATTTGCACATGGGCTCCATCCTACATCATGAGGTGCCTATAAATAGCACCCACCCATAGCTTTACAAGGGATGGATTTTGGAGATTTTTAACTCTTGGGAAATAACTAATTTCCCTTCTCCATTATCAACCTTGGGAGTGAAAGTTGGAGATCCATGGGAGAGCCATGCCATTATTCTCTCTCTAGCCATTTTGCTTTCTTCTTCACCAAATCTCTTATCTCCATCATCTCCTTTACTCTTGTGTTCTTAAGTTGAGACTATTGAAAAATCTAAGCCTCTCATTATCTTTTAGAAACTTCGAAGTTGTTCTTCAATAATCTTTGAAAATCTTCGAATTTTCCAACCGTGTTCTTGAACCTTCTCCTATAGTTACAAAGTAGAGGGCCTTGGCGGCAGAACCCTAGCTCAAACCCTAGCAGATGAAGAAGAGAAGAGAGAGAGAGAGAGTGGTTTGTTTGTCGCCACCACCGTTGGCGAAGCAGAGAGGCTCGGAGGCGAAACCCTAGCTCGAACCTTGAGAGCGAGAGTGAATTGTTTGTTGGCTTTATATACCATATATACAGGGATACTATGGTTATTTTGCAAGAGCTTGTCCTTATAGACAAAATATTTTAAAATGTGAACCTTTAGATAAAGAAAATTCAAAATTGAATTTATGAGCAAGTGCTCATAAATTTAAGGTGAATTATATTGACTTATAATATTTTGAAGAAATATAATAAAACATATATTTGACATAATTATATCAATTTCTCTTCTCTATTAGTAATAATAAAAAGACTAGACTAATACGAATACTATATAAAATATACCTTTTAATCTAAAAAAAATGATAATATTATTTTTTTTCATCCATATCAACAACAATTTCTAATGAAAATATTATGTGAATTAAAAATATAATTACCACATCGATCATTCAGGGGAGGGGGTCCGTCGAAGCAGTACTTTGAAAAAAAAAATTAAATAACTTCGATTTTTTGAGGGAGTCATCCATGCCATACACAATATGCACAGAAAAGAAAAGAACTGAGATTTTCATTGATGAAAGGCATCAATGATACATGGTGAGGAAATCAAGAGTGGTAGCAAGAACTTGTTATTGTTGCGATGGGGCGGTGTTTGGGAAGAATTTTTCTTTGATTTTTTTTACTAAAAGACAAATTGATTACAAAATAAAAATAAATAAATTCAACCAAAATATCACATCAAATCGCATAATTATTTCACTTTTTCTCTCACAAACATCACATTTAACTAAAAAAAATCTACTTCGCAAAATAAAAAAATACTTTTACCACTTTAGGATAGCAATTATGAAAATTATTTTTACAACTATGTACAAAAATTCACAATCTAAGACTCCCCTGTATTTGCCTCCCCCTGTTGCTCTCTCCCATGACATAAACATGAGATGTTGTAAAGAGATTGAGAAACATCACTCTTTTTCTAATAAAAGAAGAAGAAAAAAACCTCTTTCTGAATTCTCTCTCTCGCACCCTTTTTTGTTGTTTTTTTGATAACTGAGAATCGATCCTAGGCAGGGTCGTTTAGACAAAGGCTCCCAAACCAGTTCTTGTGATATCATGATGGTTTTTCTTAAATCATTGGGGATTTTAAGGTTCCAAAGCCGGCTGTTTCGGCCGATGTAGACTATTGAAGTCACTTGTTCCATTGTACCCCTCTGTAGTGAAAAGCTCTACATAGTACCTCTTCCAGAAGGATGGCTTTTGATATTTTTGCACTGACTCTAGGCTGCCTTGGCTGCCCTTTAGCAGCTGCACAATCTGCAAGCGCAAATCAAGTTTAAATGATGTAGTGTTTGAAAAAATTTAGGAACACATAAACCGATCATAAAATCAAAGACAACCCTATTAGTTTATGTGTAAGTAGAAAAACCGATAGTACTGCACATATTAGAATAAGTGTGACACCAACTAAATCACAAGCATAAAACACTTCTTACTCTGATTGTGGGCTCCCACTTCATATAATCGTGTGGGGCCCACACCTTTTGCGAGCAGTGTTTAACATAGTGAAATAGTTGGCGTCTGTAGCATTGTTGTATTAGAACCGCACATATCAAACTGACGTATTTACAAAAATTCCAACTTTTGCCATATAAATTCAACTATCTTAGACAGACACATTATATTTCCATCTGTTGAAAAACAGAACACAAATTCAACTATATGACAAGGCCAACCGGAACATAAAAGGGCCAAAGTCTCAAGGTCTGTATTCTAAATTTAGTTTGTAACTTGTAAGTGGAATTAACACATCATCTACATAATTTTAATCTGAGTAAGGTCGGCAAAACATGCCTGTCTCATTCGAGGCCGTTGAATCGAAGATTGTTGTATGCACAAAAAAGCAGCCAACACCATGAGGTTCATCTGTATTGAGTCGTAGTCATCACCAAGCGAAGGATCAACAAGCTCCTTGATGTTGTTCTTCTTGAGCAAGGGTTTTGCCTAAAAGGTAAATTGGAATGCTCAATGTCAATTCAGCCAATTCAATTAGTAAAGGTGTCATACGAAAGGGGATTTGGAGGTTTTTCTGATGGGTAGAGGTGCTATGTTACTGGACTTTGGTGCGTGTGGATATCTAGAGGTCGGACACATCAAACTCCAAATTTTAGGATATACGGAGTCCAAATTGAAAAAAAGAAAATTTATTCATGACATATATCGCATTATAATACAATCATTTTACTATAATTTTAATATAGTGCAATGTAGAATATAGAATACAATGATTTAATTTTACTTATTAACAGAAAAAACAAAGAAGTGTATGCTTCAAACTGAAAGTCCATGTACTGTAGGTGAGGGGAGAGCAGAGGTTTACCCAAATGACAAGGCTCTGCTTTGAGTAGTCCAGAGCTCGACGCCCAGTAATAAGTTCCAAGAGCAGCACACCAAAGGCATAAACATCGGTTTTTTCATCTACTATGCCATGCATTAAGTACTCAGGAGCAAGATAGCTGCAATTGGGAGAAAAAATTAAGACAATTTGTAAGTAAAATCTTGTGCAGATGATAGAGAGATGACAAGTGTTAGGTTTCCAATTACCCAAATGTGCCTTCGAATTTTGATACTGTATGATGAGTCCATTGCTCTGGAAGCCATTTTGCAAGCCCGAAGTCACAAATCTGAATAAAAAATGGTTATCCTTTTGAGGTTCAAAGCTCCCAAAAACATCTTTCAAAATGCATATTATTTTTTTTTTGGTTTGGTCATGTTACAAAGTTAAGATCAAATTTATTATCATTTGCTACCTATACAATTATGTTCTTTGTTGATGAAAGTTCAAACATGAAGATTTAAAGATTACCTGAGGCTCAAAGTTTTCTGTAAGAAGTACATTTGCAGCCTTGATGTCTCTGTGAATGATTCTCCTTCGACAACCCTCGTGAAGGTATAGCAAACCATCGGCTGTTCCTAGTGCTACCTTGTACCGAATACTCCAGTTGAGTTTCTCCTTTGAACCTACACAAACAATTTAAAAAATCATACTAGATTAAGATTGCATACATCTTACCCTCCCAGATCCTGCTTTAGCATAAGCATTGTGCACTAAGTCATCTTACCCTCCCAGAACCAGGAAATGAAGAAGCAAAATTAGGATTTTTGAATTCTCTCAATCAATATTCATTAATCAAACAACGAGTATTTTCCATACACAATATTCATTAATCAAACAATGAGTATTTTCCATACACAATCCCCACAAGGAATTGAGGGGGGGAAAAAAAAGAAATTAATAAAATTAGAAACAAAATCTGCTAAAATATTTGACGCCTTTTGTGCCTAAAATAGGTCTTCATGCCTTTCCTTTCTTGATCGCCATCCCTTTACTTTGCAACATATAAAATTTGGAGAAAAATTGGGATTGGAAAGAACAAACCAACCGTGATGAAGGAGAGAAGCTAAGCTTCCACGCGGATAAAACTCTAGAACAAGGTACATTCCTCCTTCAACTCCATAACCGATCAATTTAGCAGTATTGGGATGGTTCACATGGGCCATAATCCCGAGCTCACATAAGAAGTCTCCTATTCTCTCATCAGGCAGTCCTCGTGTCAGCCGCTTAATCGCCACAACCTGCCCATCTCGCAAACGTCCCTTGTAAACCTCGGCATAACCACCCTTTCCAATCAAGTTCTCTGAAGCACCAAAAAAAAAAAAAACCAAAATAAAATTGGAACATGAGAAAGCCTAAATGCACAAAAGATTTTCACTCACATCCATGTTTCATTATGTGAAAATCTGTTATATTCCTAGCATAGTTGTTGGAACATAAGCACAATTTCCATAGGCTATCAGGAAAGCTTTTATAACTTTAAATTCAAATTCAAGTTTTGAAGTAAAGGATGAACCTTGGCTGAAACAGTTGGTAGCGGTTTGGAGTTCAGAGAGGGTGAAATTCTTCTGCTGAGGCAAATCAGTATCTACAAGGGGATCCAAACCCGTGTTGATGTCTTCTCTCAGGCTACGGCTAATTCGCCATAAGGGTGTTTTTGATCTAATCTTCAATAATTGGACAAAACCACCCCATCGAGAGGTGGGCTTCGAGTTTTGTTGAGCTTCAGATTCAGATGTGCTTGCTTTGGAAGAGACTGTTTCGGATTCAACGGTCCTTAAATAGTCCTCAAGAACTCCATTAGGTGAGTACACATCATCCTTCGCCTCCATTTCTGAAAATCACAATTCTGTCAAGAAAAACCAATTTGTAGCAAGATTGGGACTGTAAATTTCATAGAGGGTAAGTGCATATACATGAAAATGGTTTCAATTTTTCTCTAAGTAGAAACAGAGACGGAGAACAGAGGATTCTTTTCTTCTTTTTTTTTCGCTGTCGAATTGTAAATTAGTCTAACTCGATGAGCAAAGATCAACAAGCTACTGCTAATAATGACCCATGGTAGAGAAATTCAAAATCAGAGACAGTTCAAAGAAAGACTAAGAAATGTGAAACAAGCACTAACGCATATGAAAACACAACAAAAAATCAAAAACCCCGAAGAAAACAAATACAAGGTGTTCTGGTCAAGTCCCAGAAAAGATTAGGAATATTATGAACTAAATTTAGGCAAGTGTGAAAGAAAATTGGAACAGAGAAACCAAAAGGGGCAAAAAAAATATATTTTTTTTTTTGAAATTTGTTGTTAACCTATTGAAAAGTGAGGCCTAAAACAGAATAGTAATCAGAGAATGTTTAAAGAAAACAGGAAACCAAAAAGGGCAATTTAAAAATAATAAAAAAAAAAACTGTTTTGTGATATTGAAACAAGACTGTAATTTCAATTGAACCCAAACCAGAAAAGTTGAAAGTAAAAGAAAAAAAACTGGTACCAGTGATACGTAGCCATCAACTGAACAGGGGTTCCTAGTTCAGAGAACAAGAGGAACAAGATTTTAAAGATGTTTTTGGCTTACCATGAAAGAGAAGCTGAAGGTTGTCGGAGATCTTCGGTTGAGACAGAAGAGAGAGCTGAAAAGCAAAGGCACTGCAGCAACCCAGAAGAAGCCAAAGAGAGAGAGAGAGAGAGAGAGAGAGAGAGAAAGAGAGCAGGCTCAAAGAACTTCCACAACCACAAGGACAACCATTTCTGCAGTTTTTCCCAAGTTACTGCTCAATGATACGTTGCTTCTTGCCTCCAATGAATTTCTAACTTCTTAAAATATTCACCCAAATTTCCAAAAATTGGTAGTGAAATTATATATAATTCTGCATAATTAAAACATAAAAAATATGGGTTATGTTTAAAATAAATCATATAATATATTTTCTGTATACTTTTTTTATGTAGTGTTCATATTGGTATTTTAATTTTTGTTTTTTTAAAGGTTAAGGACTTGTTTGATTTAATTTTCAAAATATAGAAATTAGTTTGATTAAAATAAATATTAAAATATATTTTTAATTTTTAAAAAAGATAAAATTATATAAAAATAATTAATATTTTATATTTTTTTCAACAAATTAAATTCTAACTTTTTAAATTTTTTTTCTCCTGAAAATATATTATAAAAATCAAATCAAATAGAGCCTTCATTCAATATCAATTTTATTATTTCATTGTATTTTTACTTTATATTTCACATTCAAATACCAACGTTTCGTAACTAACTACTTTATCCTGGTCGCACAATAAACAAATGAAAAGAAAAAAAGGAATTGACATCCACTTTATTACATGATAAATTTGAAATGGAAAAGTCTCCTTTGGAGTTGTGGGAAAGTGATTATAATTTATACCTTAATAATTTATAGTATGAACATAAATTAATTTTTTACTTATAAATTAAGTTTTTCTTCCTCACTTAAAGAATAAGTTAATTTTTTACTTATAAAAAGTTGTAAATTGTATTATTAAACTGAACCAAACTCATCAAAATAGCTTAGATTAAACTAAAAGTTAAAATAAATTGAAAATAAACCCTACCAAAAGGCCTATGTCAAATTCCACGTAGACATTTGTCTTTTCGGATGTAACTTTATTGTAGAGCGGATTTTGTTACTTTTTAAAATGCCAATTGAAATTTAGGCCCTTTTAGGTAGTGAAATTTTAGTTTTTTTAGGTTAAAATTTATAAAATAAATAAATAAATAAATTAAAATAATAAAATGTCACATATTAAATTTATAATCATTTTATTTTTTTCTAATAAATATTATATTTAATTATAAAAAAATTTAATTATCTTTCTAAATACAAAAATTTTAATCTATTAAAATAAGTAAAAACTCACATAACAATTTTTTACCTCTGTTTGGCAAGTTGGTTCTTGGGCTTTTTTGGCTATTTTAGCCACAAAAGATAAAATAGGCTATTTTAGCCATAACAAACAAAACATCGCATCCAACCCATAATCATTACATTCTTCTCTCACAAAAAAACTCAAAAAAGTCAAAAAGCCAAAAAGTTCTTCCCAAACTAAACTTTTAAGCCCAGACTAAAATAACTAAAAAGTCAAAAAGTCAACCCACTTCTCAAACGGAGGCTAAGGTGCTCGAGTGATGTTAGGTGCTTGAGAAATAGGTGGTGGAACTTTGTCTAAATGATGAGGTTTTGATGATATGGTGCTGATGCGGGATATTTTTTTTTTTAAAAGATCTTAAACTTAATTGTTGTTTATAATATATGATTTTTTGAGATATTTTATTAATTTTTTAAAATAAATTTTATATCTTTACTAGCACCAGTATTTAGTAAATTTTGTAAAAAAATTACAATGTTAAATTCTAAGTTCATACGAAAATATAATTTTTTTAATACTATCTTAAGGCTCAAAAAATTTCTCTAACTTCATTTTATATTTTTAAAATTTTAATATTAAATCACTAGGAAATTATTTTTTAAAAAAAGCAATTTAAAAAATCCATACTCCATTTTTGCCTTGGAAAATTGCCTTTAACTAAACAAATTATTGTCATTATTATTTCAATGCTTTCAAAAGCCACATGATCACATGTATTTCTTGTATGCAATGCTTTCAAACTAGTTATACTATCAATTTAATTAAAATAACTAATAAAATTATAAAAAATCTTTCTACCAGACTCGTCAAAAGACTAACTAAAATAGTTTTGTAAATAGTGACTAGCTATTTCTGTTGAGCTAAATCATTTATTTTTTCATTCTCTTTCTCATAAAAATATTAAATGAATGTTGTAAAAGTAAATAGCTAAAATAAAGAGAATTATTAGAGTATACATTAAAAAAAAACGATTAGTTAAAATAAGAAAATAAGATTTTAAGAAATTTTGACTAGTATTGCTACTGGAGATCTAGTGTCCAAATTTAATAGTTGAAAATCGCTTTTAGTTTTGAGGATCGTTTATTTTCAGAAGTAGAATGGAAGAGATTAATAGTGGAGGGATTAAGTAAAATTATGTTTATTTTAATGATAGTTATTGGTATAGAAATTGTTAAATTATTTTTATATAAAATAATAATACAAATAAAAAAATACAAAAACATTAAACATTAATGTTCAACAAAAATGCCTAACATGTAAAAAATTAAAAAATTAAAAAAATAGAAAAAAATTAAACAATAATTTTTACTTAACAAAAAATTAAACATTAATGTTCAAAAAAAAACCCAAAATGTAAAAAAAAAAAAAAAAAACTAATCTAACTCCGGCGGACTATTTTTTTAAAACCACCTCTACCTCCTCCATCCCAATCTCCTTTCCAAGGCCCAACCTAATCCGGACTTCCATGTCATTCCCTCTCCCAAATTTGTAAACAAACACAATATTAAATGAGTCTCTCCTCTATCCTAATTGTGTCCCTCCCTTTATACCCCAAAACAAACGAAACCTTTTTGTCTTTAATAAAATGGTTTAGTATACTTGTCAAATGTGTAAATGCTGATAGAGACAATGGGTTCAATTTTATTCACAGTTTTAAGATGGGTACATTTTAATGTTAATTGGTAGAGATACTATTTGAGTCCTTTAGCATACCCTCTTTCCTTCCTTTCTTTGTTGTTTTAATTAGTTTCACTTATTTTATAAATTTATATCTATTTATTTATTTTTTAATAAAAATTAAATCCCACTCGTTAACACACGTTTATAATGAAACACCCTTATAATCTTAACTAAAAATAAAGGTCATTTTTTTGACTTTTTCAGATTCTTCTACATATGAATTGACTAAAGTTTAAAAAAAAAAAATTACACAAATTTAAAAACAAAATACTAAAAATAAAATAATTTTTAAAAGGGACTTTTTTAAACTGAATTTCCAACTAATATGTGATTGTTTAAGGTATAAGTTGTGTCAACATTAATTTTATTCTTGTTTGGTTGGTGTCCGCAATTCCAACTTATTACGTTAACTACATAGATTTTTTTATTAGCTTTGCTTTCTTGACTAACCCTTTTGGTTAGATTTTGTTAAGATTATAATAATATCTCTTCCCACTAGCCAATCTCAACCACCACTCCTCTTCATTTCTTTTACTTTAATTTGGATCTCTCTCTCTCACTCAACAGTGGAGTGATCAAATTGAATAGAAATAGTGCATATAAAAATATTCAAAAAAAATATTGTATATTTCAGATATGCATATGGTGGGATCTATATGTATAAAATTGACTATGAGGGTGCGTTTGGCATACGTTAAAAAAGGCACAAATTTTAAATAAAAAAATATATAATTTTTTTAACTAGATGTCAAACGAGACCTACAAGTCAGTTAGTACTCTGACTTTCAAGTCAAGTTACATTTAAAACCAAACATATAAAGTTGTTTAAAAAATTGACGAAAATACCACTACAAGAAAAAGTACATTTGGCGACTAAATTTTTAGTCACCAAAAGTCTGTTTTTAGTCGCCGAAAGTCGAGTTTTTACTTTCAACGACTAATTGTTTTAGTCGCCCGTTTTGTCGCGTATATATGATCGCCAGAGGTATTGGCGACTAAAATTTTTTTGGTCGGCAAAAAATAGCTCTTTAGCGACCAACGATTTAGTCGCCAATAGTGATTTACACTTTTTTAAATCACACATTTAGCGACTAATCTTTTTGTCGCCAATAGTCCATAAATCGCCGACTAAACCGTTTAGTCACCCAAAATAAACACTTTTTTAGTCGCCAAAGGTGCTTTCGTGAAAAAAAAAAAAAATCAACTTTTTTGCTTTTTCTGCGATTTAAACCGCCAACCTCTTCCACATTCTAAACCTTTAGCCACACACTCTCTCCACTATGCCACTACAACACCACATAAACATATATGCAACATATATTATTTATATACTATATTGACCCGTATTAATATCTAGCTATATATATAAAAATAATTATTTTTATTCAATATAATTTATGTAAAAAATAAATTATTTACTAAAAAAAAAATTAGATCACTTTTGGCAACTAAATCTATTTTTTAGTCGCCAATTGTATAGTTTTGGCTACTAATTATATTTTTCTCGCTAAAAAAAATCTTTCCAGCCGAAAAACCTCCACTTTTGGCGACAAAACTGAAATCAGTCGCCAAAACCTCTACTTTGGACGACTAAACTACATTTTAGTCGGTAATTCTTGACTTTTAGCTACTAAATTTTTTTTAGTAGCCAAAAAGTTTCACTTTTGGCTACGAAATTGATTTTTGTCAGTAAAACACGTATAATCGGCGACCAAACTATTTTTTAGTCGCCAAAACC